TCTCCTCGGGTCCCGCCCCGCTCCTGGCCGGAGCTCTCTGATTGGGTGGCCGGGACGAGCCCGCCCCCTAAGCCTTCGCTGTTCGTCCTCTCCCCTCCCCCCCCACCCCGCCCTCCTTTTCCTACTGGCTCCCGAGAGGGACCGTGATTGTTCGAGTTACACGTCACTCTTTGTGACGTGCGAGGTGGGCGGGGAAGAGGGGGCGGGCCGGGGCTGTAGCTGGGGACGGAGTAGGGGTTGGCGCAGGCGCGCACAGTGGGAGCGGACGCCTAGGTGTCTTCCTTTCGCCGCGTCGCTCTTGCCCACCTGAGTCGGTTCTTTCTGCGAACTGGGGGGGGCAGCCTTGGGGCGGACCGTAGACATGGCCGGAGGGCGTTGTTGCCCCGGGTTAAGGAGGAGATCTCCCTCTTGCAGGGCGAGGGCATCAGGAGAGTCCAGGGCAGGCCGGGGAGGTGTCCTCCTGTGGGGCCGCGGGGGTGGCTTCCCGAGCCGTGTGGCCCTGGGCCTTCCCTGCTGACCCGGGGTGCTCCCTCGGGGCGGGGTCCTCCCGCGCCCCGCTGGCTGGGCCTCCAGTGTGAAGCCGGTGGGTTACATAGTCTTTGGGGGCTTTTCAAGGAAATGAAATCGTTTTCTCCTTCAAGATGCCCTCCCCAGGTTACTGCCCAAGTGATCCCACACGGTGGTTCTATTTTCCAGGGGGTTATTTATACTTTAAAAAACAACAAAAACAACAACAACACGGTTTTACTGATTTCAGAGAGGAAGGGAGAGAAACATCAATAATGAGAGGCATTGATCAGCTGCCTCCTGCACACCCCGCACCGGGGATGGACCCCGCAACCCCATCCCCCTCAGCATGTGCCCTGACCGGGAATCAAACCGTGACCTCCTGGTTCTTAGGTTGAGGCTCAACCGCTGAGCCACCCCAGCCGGGCAACCAGGGGTTTATTTGTAAACGGCCTTTTAGAGCCATTACTTTCCTCCACTGTAGACGATGACTCACCCCCGGCCCTTTAGCACCAGGTACTAAAGTTAGTGTTAATCATTAGCATTGTCCTGTGGCTATAATGCCACCAACCTACTCGCATAGTGAAATTTTAAGGTTTCTAGTGGCATCATTAAAAACAGTAAGAAGGAACAGTTTTAATAAATGGGGCAACAATTCAGAATATTATTTTAACAATATGAAATTATTACTATCAAAGTTTTTTTCGTGCTAAATCTTTGAAAATTGTGTGTATTTTACACTTACATACACTTACAGCACATCTCGGTTCAGTTAACTTCACACTCGCTGTCTTATCAAGTACTGAATAACTACTAGCAACTCCTGATTTTTGAGTTGTAATTTGGGACCCTTTCTGCTTTGGACTGATTGTATCTTGCTGCCCAAAAATTGTTTCTTAAGAGTGAATTTTAATTGAGCACCCATTTTCTGAATTGTCGAGGATGTCCGAGGGAAGGCTGAACTATGTCTTGTTTTTGTGTGCCCTTATGGCCGTGGCCCTAATCCTACAATTTACCTTATTCCTCCCAAGGGCCTAGAGCAGTGGTCGGCAACTCCATTAGTCAACAGAGCCAAATATCAACAGTACAACGATTGAAATGTCTTTTGAGAGCCCAATTTTTAAACTTAAACTATATAGGGTAGGTACATTGTTATTAACTTAATTAGGGTACTCCCTAAGCTGGCCTTTGCTAAAAACGTCCTCAATCTGATTGAAGTACATTCGCTGAGGTTGACCCCCTTCCAACTCTCCCATCCACACTCGTCTTGTATACTTGTTTCGTCTATCTCCTTTCCGAAAACCAACTTCTGCACATGGGCCATGAAGTTTCAATTACCCTGTGACGTGGCGTGCCCGCACGTGGTATTTTGTGGAAGAGCCACACTCAAGGGGCCAAAGAGTCGCATGTGGCTCTCAAGTTTCGGTTTGCCGACCACTGGCGTAGAGGATTTCAGCTAACACTAAAACCGGTCCTATTATAGTGGGGCCTTGACTTACGAGTTTAATTCGATCCGAGACCAAGCTCGTTAAGAGCTCGTTAACTCAAATTACTTCTGTCAACTCAAAGCAAAAAATCAGCCGAGAGACAGCTTGGTATCTCAAAAACCTCGTTAGGTCGGGGACACTTCGTAAGTCAGGGCCCCACTGTACTAGGTTTCTAGGTCCTCATATAACCCTGTATGTTGCTTCTCTAACAACTCATCTGTAGCAATAGGCTCTGGAGCAGTGGTTACACCCCTGGCTGTACAACAGGATGAAGGCTTTTCAAAAAGATAAATCCCCCGCAGGGAGAGGGAAGTGGATTATTTGGATTTAGTAGATGTGGAGAGGGGACCTGGACATGTTTTTGTTTTTTTAATAATTCTTTATTGTGGAGAGTATTACATATGTCCCCCTTTTCCCCCCATTGACCCCCTCCAGCCTGCCCCGCCCCCCCCCCCCCATGTTTTTAAAAAGCCACACAGGTTCTGTAAGCTAAGTCTGGGTTAAGAACACTGATCTAGGGGTTGAGTTTGGGGTTTACAGAAGAAATTGTGCTATTAATTCTACTGAAAAGTGTTCTTTCTCCCCTTCCCTTCCCAATTAGACTAGGCACAGTTTCACTGGTTTTACTACATCTACACCCTTTTTTGGCAATATCTTGCCCAAGGACATAATATTCATGGTGTCTTATAAAAGTGCTTAATCTTTTCAATATACCAGCGAATAGCTTATACTGAGGTTGGCAGAAGTAGGTTTATGGAGGTTTGTGTGGAAAAAGACATGCAGGTGATGATTATTACAATAGCTTTATTAACTCAAAAAAATGTCACAATGCAACTGTGAGCCTACTTTTTCCCTGCCCTGTATAGACATTTACTTATAGAATATACAGACACACTTGCTATCTGATATTCCAGTGTGAATAATCACCATTATTTGATGGGTAGATCTAGCAAAGCAAATCTCATGGAGGGAGAAAGTCTAATTAAAGGTGCAGTGGCCCCTCCCAGTGTGTATTGGTCATTGGGAGGAAATGGGTAATAGAATTACAAATGAAACGCTCAGAAGTTCCTTTCTTTATCTCTTTTCATGAGAATTGTCATTTAATGCTCCCCCCTTGGTCTTAAGTTCTCTACTAAGGACCCAAAGCAAAAGCTATAGTGGGAGTGATTGTTCACCAGACATTTTTCCTTTAAGAGGGGGAGATGTAAAAATAGATGTATGTAGATAAGATCCATTCAGCTAAGTTTTTAAAAAATGCTAAATAGTTTTGGTTGGGTGTTCATAATATAAAAATTGCTTTCTGCTTCATTCTCACATAATAAATGAGGTTTCATAAGTTCCCATATACAAATGTATACATTCATGCATTAATTTATATTTGATCAATATTGTGATTTATGAACAAGGCAGAAGATATTGAAGCTCACACACCTTTCCCTTTGGGTCTATACTTACTGTCTTGTATTAAATCTTGTTTATGAAGCAAATTTAAGATTTGCTTTTGCTCTAAATATATGGCAGGGATTCTTTCATTTAAATTCATTACACAAGACCATCCTTTCTACCCTCCCCCAGCCACACAACACATTAATTTGCATCTGAATAGGATTTCTCTCAATCCTATGCTGCTGTTTATGACTTAGGTTGATATACTGGGGCAGAAGAGTTGCTTTAAGGATCTTAAAAGAACAGCCCTGACCGGTTTGGCTCAGTGGATAGAGCGTCGGCCTACAGACTCAAAGGATCTGTAGGGGAGGGTGGGTGGGTGGGAGGTGATCAACCAAAGAACTTGTATGCATATATGCATCAACCCATGGTCACAGACAGTGGGGTGGTGAAAGCCTGGGGCGGGGGCGGGCCAGAGGGGGTTCATTGGGGGGGAGGGGGATGGGGACATTTGTAATACTTTCAACAATAAAGATTAAAAACAAAAAGAAAACTACAGAATTG